TGTTGCTAATGGATTGTACAAGAAAAGACTGTACACTGAAGGCATCATATTATGTCAGAAAAGTGATATTGTATAGATTAGAAATTAGCATATTTGTGTGGACATTTAATAAAAAAAAGATGATTTTGCTATCCAATTGGTGCACATCTATCCACTGACCAGAAGATTATAGTGCTAGGTCAGTGATACTCTGGATCTTGTCGCAGTAAAGGCGATTATGAATACAATAGTTATTTAAAGTGTTATTAAAGGCTGTGGTTTTTTTTTAAACAACATGTCATACTTACCTTCCCTGTGTAATGCTTTTGCCTATGCTCTATAGCAGACCTCATCCTCCTCTTCTGGGGTCCCCTGCCGGCACTCCTGGCCCCTCCCTTCTGCCAAGTGCCCCCAGAGCAAGCAGCTTACTATGGGGGCACCAGGGCAGGCTCTCTCTTGAGCCGATGCTCTGTCTGTACATTGACACAGCGTGCAGCTTGGCCCCGCCCAATTTCTCTCCTCATTGGCTCCCTGGCTCTGAGTGACAGTAGTGGGAGCCAAGGGCTCCTGCTGCTGTTTCAGCCAATGAAGAGGAATAGTCCCTATGTACCTTTTTTGTATTACAAAAACAGTCCTTAAATTTGAAGAGGAAAAGTGGATCAGGTTCAGCATTTGCCAACTCTGGCAGCTGTGTTTTGGGGGAAGACAACTGTGTAACTGTTGACAATTTTGCCAGAAAGGAGGTCAGTAGGCACAATTCCCTGGATCAAAATATTTATATTTGACATCAGCAATGATAAACTTGGATATTACAAGTTGCAAGAAAATCCCCCAATCTTTTTTAAATTCCATTATTCTTTCTTCTGTTGCTAACCTGATGCAATAAAGAATCCCAAAGTCTAGTCACACCCACTGAACAGACCTTTTATTGAACTGATGGGAAAACTTTTTTAAACTTTTGAAACTGGTGCCACTTTGTCCTTTGTCCAGTCTGTGCATTAAAACTTAGGTTTGGCAATTCTTTAAGTGACCTTGCAAATATCTGAACATGTTAATTTAAGTGATGCTAAAGGTTCTGATTTTTTTTTTTTAAATAACCTGTCATACTTGCCTGCTCTGTGCAATGGTTTTGCACAGAGCAGCCCTGATGTTACTCTTGGGTTACTCGCTGATGCTCCTAGCTTCTCCCTTCTGTTGAGTGCCCCCAGAGCATTGTGCTTGCTCTAGGGTCAATTGTGAATGCTCGCTCCCGAGCTGCCTTTGTGTGTCCAGTGGCTCCCGCTGCTGTGACTCAGCCAATGATAAGGGAGAGACACTGCTCTCGTGCACATCGCTTGATCGAGATCAGGCTCAAGTTAGTATTGGGGGGGGGGGGACGACTGCACACTGAAGGTTTTTTACCATTATGCATAGAATGCATGAAGGTAAAAAGCCTTTAGACCCACTTTAGTTCTAATTTTTTTAATATTTCACTATAGAAAAGATTTTCCATCTATTTTTATTAATTTAGTTGTCTATGAACCCTTTCCTAAAATTCTATGTCCTTTTCACAATGTGACATTCAAAATTGGCATCTTATTACAAACCTTTCAATTTATTTATACAGATGCTTACATAGTTACATCCTTAGTCTGGCTGAAAAAAGACAGAACCAACTCTTGAGGGAGTCTATTCCTCATTTTCACAGCTCTCACTGTGAAGAAACCTTTCCGTGTTTGGAGATTAAATTTCTTTTCCTCCAGATGTAAAGAGTTCCCCCTTGTCCTCTGTGTTGACCTCAGGGTGAATAGCTCTACACTGAGTTGACTATATGAACCACTGATGTATTTATACATGATGATCATATCCCCCCTTAATCTCCTCTTTTCAAGCGAGAATAAATTCAGTTCCTCTAATCTTTCCTCATAGCTGAACTCCTCCATGCCTCATATCAGTTTAGTTGCCCTTCTCTGCACTTTCTCCAGTTCCCCAATGTTTTTTTTTTGTGAATTGGTGCCCAAAACTAAACTGCATATTCCAGGTCTTACTAATGATTTGTACAGGGGTAAAATGATATCTCTCTCTGGAGTCTATATCTCTTTTAATACAAGAGAGGATTTTGCTCGCTTGGCATTGCATGCCATTAATAGGCTTGTGATCTACCAGAACTCCCAGATCCTACTCCACCATTGATTCCCCCAGTTGAACCCCCCCTAGTATGTATGATACATGCATATTCTTAGCCCCCAAGTGTATAACCTTACATTTATCAACATTAAACTTCATTTGCCACATAGTTGCCCAATTAAACAGTACATTGAGGTCGGTTTGTAAATTGGAGACATCCTGTAAGGACGTTATTCCACTGCACAGCTTGGTATCATCTGCAAAGATTGAAATGGGATTTATAATCTCAGACCCTATATCGTTTATAAATATATTAAAAAGTAACGGTCCCAACACTGAACCTTGGGGTACACCACAAACAACCCTATTCTATTTTTTCATCCTATGCTTTTATCTCCCTTTTTATACACCCCAAAATTTGGTCCACTTTTGCAGCTGCTGCTTTCCACTTTATAGTTCAATTATTTCTAACCCACTCTTTTTATTCTGAATAATCTTGAAGTTTGTAAATTTTGTGAAGGTCCCCACACATATACTTGAATTCTGTGACAAATTCATTACGCCCTGTAAGTGGACACTGCTGTGTCACACAATTCACAGAGCCTGCCTTCTGCAGACACGCTTAGAAGAGGAGTTTCAGGAGACGGAGTCAGTACCAGACAGCAAGGTACCATGGGAGATGTAGTCCTTAGAATTTAGCATTTTCAAAAAGAAGTATTTTTCGTATTGATATGATGCTGATGTAATTAAATGAAAGTGTATGTAGCGACCATAGATCTCATTTAGCTAGTATTCCCAAGTCTTCCAACTCAGTTTTCCCAATTTGCTTACCGTTTATTATATAGGGGCTAATGCTATTCCCCTGACCTAAGTGTACAACCTTGCATGTTTTACATAAAATTTTAGATTGACATTGAATTACCATTTTGTCAAGCTCCTCCTGCAAATTTTTAATAATTCTACATATAATTGTGTCATCAGCAAAAATGGCTGCCAATGTCCTTAATCCCCCCCCCCCCCACACACACCAATGTAACTTCCAATTTTTTTTTACTAGTGATGCACCGAAATGAAAATTCTTGGACCGAAACAAAAAATTCAGGATGCATTTGGCCGAAAACCTAAATGGACAGTTTTTTTTTTTGTTTTTTTAAATATTTTTTATATATATAATTGTATTCTATTTGACTTTTTAATTAATATCATGAATTAAAATGAATATGAATTTATTTTTAGCACCTTTCAGCCCATAGGCTGATTTCACACTGAGCAGGTTTTGTATCAATTTTGCGTTAACAAAAAAAAAAAGGCACAAGAAAAGCTCAAGAAAAATGCATCCCTTTAAATTCAATGTATGTGTTCACACTGATCAGTTGCACTTCTTTTGCAGTGTTAAAAGCAGCATTTTTGGCGCATATTCAGTGAGTTAAAAAAAAAAAAACACCAAAAACTCACCTCCCTATTGAGGCCTGATTCACACAGTTAGTTTTTTAGGTCTTTTTGCAGAAAGCCACTACAGTCCATTTAACATGGTTTCCCATGGGACACGTTAACATCTATGCATCTACCGCAAAACACATCAAAAACGCGCATGCAAAAATGCAAAAAGCACTGCAAAATGGAGAACACACAAACTGCATTGGTGTGAACCGGGCCTGAAATGCATTGAAAATAAAATAAAAAATCACGAGCAGGGCCCTCCTATTCCTTCTGTACTGAAATGTATTGTACCGTATTTTCTGGCGTATAAGACAACTTTTAAACCCATGGAAATCTTCTCAAAAGTCGGGGGTCATCTTATACGCCGTGAGTCGTCTTATAAGCCGGTATACGGCGTGCTGACATTTCCGAGCTGGTGTAGCGGCAAGATCAGTTCCCCTATGAAGATGCGTCTCCCTGACGCATCTGCGCATGTCACGGAAAACTCCACCCCTCAATCATCAGCCATGCCCTGCCTCTCTGCAACAAACCCTCTCAGTTTATCCTCCACAGGGCGATGTGTTGGGAGAAACCCCGCCTATTGTTTCTCAGCCACTCCCTGTCTCCATCTCTAACACGTGGGAAAACTCCGCCCCTCAATCATCTGCCACGCCCTGCCTCTGCTACAACTCCCCCAGTTTATCCTCCACAGGATAAACCCCACCTATTGTTTCTCAGCCACTCCCCGCCTCTCTACACTTCGCCTTGGTTTCCTCGCCACACCCTTGCCTGCAGTAGTGCGCCCCTAAGCCTTGGCTGGCGTCACGGAAGAATCCCCGCCTCCATGTTCCAGGGCCACGCCCTGCCCCTGAGAAGTTGATCTGTGATTCGTGGGCTGTAGTAGTTCTATAGGACATATTCTAAGATCGCTAGGTATTCACATTAGTCATCAGGATATACCAAGGAATGTGCGATTGGAGCGGATGTACAGAGGAACCCTCTCTCTCTCCCCCTCCTCTTTCTTCTCTCCCCCTCCACCCCTCTTTCTTTCTCCCCCTCCCCCCCTCTTTCTTTCTCCCCCTCCCTCCCTCTTTCTCTTTCTCCCCCCTCTCCCTTTCCCTCCTCTCTTTCCCCCCCTCTCTCTCTTTCTCCCCCCCTCTCTCTCTTTCTCCCCCCCTCTCTTTCTCCCCCCCCTCTCTTTTCTCCCCCCTCTCTCTTTCTCCCCCCCCCCTCTTTCTCCCCCCCCTCTCTTTCTCCCCCCCCCTCTTTCTCCCCCCTCCTCTTTCTCCCCCCCCTCTTTCTCCCCCCTCTCTTTCTACCCCTCCCCCCTCTTTCTCTCCCCCTCTCTCTCCCCCCCCCCCCCCCCTTTCTCTCCCCCCTCCCCCCCTCCTTTCTCCCCCCCCCCCTCCCTCCTCCTCTCCCCCCCTCCCTCTCTCCCCCCCCCTCCTCTCTCCCCTCCTCTTTCTCTCCCCCTCCCCCCCCTCTCTCCCCCCTCCCTCTCTCCCCTCCTCTCTCTCTATCCCCCCCCTTATCCCCCCCCCTCCCCTCTCTCTCTCTACATTGTACACAGATCTGACCCAACAAGGTGTCCTGCATTTACCGTATATTTCGCTCCATAAGACACACTTGGGGGAAATGGTCTGTGCGTCTTATGGAGCGGCCGGCCCAGTATTCCCACTGCCGTTGTATGTCCGCAGTCTCTGATCATCTCCTGTACTATGTCCGCAGTCTCTGGTCATCTCATGTACTATGTCTGCAGTCTCTGGTCATCTCATGTACTATGTCTGCAGTCTCTGGTCATCTCATGTACTATGTCTGCAGTCTCTGGTCATCTCCTGTACTATGTCCACAGTCTATGGTCATCTCCTGTACTATGTCCGCAGTCTATGGTCATCTCCTGTACTATGTCCGCAGTCTCTGGTCATCTCCTGTACTATGTCCGCAGTCTCTGGTCATCTCCTGTACTGTGTCCGCATTTGTTCTTAGTTTTTTTTTTTAAACTATAGTCCGGCCCTCCAACGGTCTGAGGGACAGTGAACTGGCCCCCTGTTTAAATAGTTTGAGGACCCCTGTTCTACAGACAGCTGATCCTGTGGATCACTAGCCACCGATGCTCCAGCAAGATGGATCAAAGATGCGTATTGGGGAGCATCATGGATCGGAGAGAGGACAATTACATGGGGGGGGGGGTTTGTGACATGGGGAGTACAGTCACATGTGAGGAGGACAGTGACATGGGGGGGCGTGACATGTGGGGGGGGGGGGGGGACTGACATGGGAGGACAGTGACATGTGGGGGGGGGGGGGCTGACATGGGGAGGACAGTGACATGTGATGAGGTCAATGACACCGGTGGGCTATGACATGGGAGGACAGTGACATGGGGAGGACAGTTGACATGTGCTGGGGTCAGTGACATAGGGGGGCCGTGACATGGGGAGGACAGTGACATTTGGGGGGTCATTGACATGGGGCAGTAATATTGGGAGGACAGTGGCATTGGGGGGGTGACATGGGGAGGACAGTGACGTGGGGGGCTGACATGGGGAGGACAGTGACATGGGGAGGACAGTCCAAAAAACTGATGTGGAGCTAATACAATGTGAAACCCACAAGCGTGAATACAAAATAGCAACAATATATGAAAAATAAAAAATATGAATAAACAAATCATGCAAGGTGATAATAATGACAAGTGCCACTCACACGGACGTGTGTACAAATACAAAAAATTACAGTTGTAAGTGACAGTTTTCCTGCTAAGTATCTGCATGTCATAAGCATTTGAATTAAAATTACCATATTGAAATCAAATCTGATGTTTTTAAATTTTTATTTAGTGTGGTAATTGTATTGTCTCCCTTTATATTGTAAAGCACTGCGCAAGCTGTTGGCGCTATGTAAATCCTGTATTATAATAATAATAATTTTTTAATCTGCCCGTTGCTGATGTTGGCCAAAAAAAAAAAAGCATTAAAAAAACCCAAAACACATAAAAAAAACTTGCTAAAAACGTGCGTGCAAAACGGATAAAACACAAACTACATTAATGTCAGCCAGGCTTGAAATGCATTGAAAACGCATAAAAAAAGTGTGTTTTTGTTGTTTGGTTTTGTTGCTGGGCAGATTAAAACCACACACGTGTTTTGATGCATTTTTTGAGTCATGTGAGCTATGAAAAAGCACCCTAAACGTGGTAAAATTGCGGGCACAATCACGCATTTTCAGTAGCTATTTTCGGCACCTTTGTTCCTATCGGCAAAACGCAGAGAACACTGTTTTCGGCTGCTGATATATCGGTGCATCTCTATTTTTTACCATAGGATTCACTAAAGCCTCTTATTAGGCGACAAAAAAAAACCACACAAAAACAAACTGGCATGTATGCGAGGACCATCAACTTTTGCAGGTGATAGTTATCCGTCTGTATTTCATTGAGAAAAAGTGTGGGGAAACAGCCTCTAATAAAAATGATAGTTGCTTGGCTGTGTCTCTCTTATGCAGCACTATAGAGAAATATCAGAATGCCGTGTCCCTTTACTTGCTTTTGGTCTGTTGGTATTGAAATCAAGACAATATCAGAAAGAGAGAAATGGTGGCCTAAATATTTCCCGTGTGTCGGGGTTTATTTAACTTCTTGCCGACCTGTAACAAGAAAGGTGGGCTTAGCCACTGCACATATGCATTCATTGCGGCAGGAGGTTGTGTGCTAAGAGTTGCGCACACAGTGTGTTTCCAGAACATTGGCCAAGCCATCACCAACTCTGGTTCACGGCTTCTGATCTGGAACTAATCACAGCTTCTGATCTGGAACTTGCATAGCGTATGGTCATCTCAAGGCGACACTTCTGCTTACACATTCATGCGTGGTACAATAATTTGCAGTGCACATTAATTTTTAATGTCAACACATTGTGCATACGTGGAAAACGCTCAACTAACCTATAGTGCATGCCACACATGGAATTGGCAATATATGCTTTCACATGGGGCACAATAGAGAAGAAAACAAGGTAGCTACTTTTATTTGGTCTGTGGACGGCCATTAAGGGACTGTTGAGTTTGAATAAGCACACTTAATGCAGCATGCATTGATTTGCCAAACAGTGTGAATAGCAACCATTTCCAATATTTTTATTTTAACTTGCTCCTCTTGGAGCTCCACCTTTTGTGCTTTCAGTATGCTGAAGACAAATAAAATAAAGTTTCCCATTGCACCAAATCATTCTTTTGCCCCTATCCTCAATCCAAATAAATATATTACATACGTTTTCTAGGCTTGCTACAAGCAGACAGATCTCTTTTCAAAAATTTAGAAAAATGTACTTCTTGTTTGAATGGCTTGATTGCCACTCTTTGACTTTTATCCTCAATTTGACTGGCATAGTTAGGCAGCGTACACATAATGAAAGTATTGTTTACTACTGTTCAACATGTTAGAAAAATGTCCTTACGTATAGCATGAGGACTGCACTACTTTGAAGTGCTTCATGAATATGTTGCTCAACTTGTGCAGATTGCCTGGCCTGGTCAACTTTACCCATATATGGCACTGATCTTATCTTTGAAATTCTCTCTAGGGTTGGTCTTTAGTTAACATTCTTTTCCCATTTAACGTTTCATTCAGCAATTCAACACTTTATGTACGCTACAGAATTCCCTTCTAAAATCTTAGAAAATATTGTTTTGGAGTGAACTAGAATTTACATAGCAAATATTTCCTGTATTACAAATTATTGCTACATGAAAATCTTGAATCTACTGCTGCATGGCCAAAATTTGACCCTAATCTGCCACAGCTGATCACAGGCTTTGGAAGAAGTAGAGGCTAGAATGACTGAGATCTATAAACATTTGTAGCATTGTTGTAGACAAGTCCCTGGAACTCATATTTATTTATTTCAGGTACTTATTTACGCAGCGCTTTACATATATATTATACATTCACATCAGTCCCTAACCCTCATGGGGTGTACAATCTAAGGTCCCTAACTCACATTCATACATACACATACTAGGGACAATTTAGACAGGATCCAATTCACCTACCAGCATGTCTTTGGAGTGTGGGAGGAAACCGGAGTACCCGGAGGAAACCCACGCAGGCACAGGGAGAACATGCAAACTCCAGGCAGGTGGTGCCGTGGGTGGGGTTCGAACCAACGACCCTAGTACTGCCAGGTGGAAGTGCTAACCATTTAGCCACTCTGCTGCCCCACATTGATTCTCATTTACTGTACAATTTAATGTGATCTTGTATTGTGACGAGACCGTCTATTAATGGATATCTGATTTCCATGGATCCTTTGCAGGAAAAAGCAGGATTTGTGCATATTATTTATATATTTATTTCAGGTACTTATATAGCGCTATCAATTTATGCAGTGCTTTACATATATTGTACATTCATATCAGTCACTAACCCTCAAGGAGCATACAAAGGTATATACAGGATTTCTATAGCACCAACAGTTTGCACAGCACTTTACAATATAAGGGGTGGGGGGACAGTACATTGCAGTACAATACATTTCAATACAGAAGGAATAGGAGGACCCTGCTCATGAAGCCTTAAAGTCTTTAATTCAGTAATTAAAACACTGTAACTTTATTAGTTCTTAATTCTCTGCAACTGTAACTTTAATAGGTGGTTATTCTCTCTCTCTCTCTCTCTCTCTCTCTCTCTCTATCTCTATCTCTATCTCTATCTCTCTCTCTCTCTATATATATATATATATATATATATATATCATTTTTTTGTATGTAAATTCTTTATTTAAAGGAATCATCAATGCAATATGGCAATGACGGTCACAGAATCTTAAAAAGGTTCCCTATAAAGCAGAGAGTTGATTAGAAAGACATCAGAATGTACGCCCCTTGAGGGTTAGGGACTGATGTGAATGTACAATATATATGTAAAGCACTGCGTAAATTGATGGCGCTATATAAATACCTGAAATAAATAATGATACACTCATGACACCACGTTGTCATATCGCAGGCACAAACTGACTGAAGGAACAAGAAACATCAAAAAAGTATACATAATGATTTGCATTCCCATAGCATTGCCGATCCCTGAATTTATTTATTTTAAAGAAAGACATTGCAACATAGGCTGAGGCAGTACCTATGAGGGACAAAAATGAAAAAGAGAACAAAAAAAATTCAGATATTTGACTTGGCATGTATTGTTTTGTTTGGCTGTATCTGGTCATGTGACAAATTTTGGGCATACTAATCAATATTTGGTTATTATAGGGTTAAGGGTTAAGAGAAAATGTACGACTGATGAAAATCTGTTTTGTGATTCACTTAGATTGGCTAGTTTCTACAATTGAAAACCTGAGGATAATGAAATCATTTTCATCATTGTTACCAATTGAATGCATTTTAAATACACATTTCTCTGCTGATATTTAAAATGAAAAGGAAAGTAGATATAATTGGTTCTAATCCAGTAGTTCGGTAACTCATTTCTTTATAACTGATATTTCATAATATCTCAATGTGGTGGACAGTTGACCTTTAAAGAATTGTATTTAATGTATTAAGACACAAATATTGATTGTAGGACCTTTCGGCATTGCTTGGTTAAAATTTTTGTTTGAAACCTTAAAGAATGTCTAGTTTGTGTTGGTGATGTCACTGCAAAAAAATATATTGTATGAGAACATGGATGGAACCCCACTATGACCTTTGAAACAATGCACCCTTTAATGTGTGGAGGAGGAGGGTTTACAGAGGGGAGGCCATAAAATTCTACAGGGTTCAAGATGAGGTTGAGTTGTAAGCTCTGTCATTTTCACACACTGCAACTGTGTTTGCTTTAGCACTTGTGCTGCAATGAAGTTGGCCTACGGAGGCTGGACTAAAGATAAACTCTGC